TAAATGAACCAATTCATGATGAAGGATTACAATAATATTCTTAGCAATGTAACATATTTTGATAGAATTCTTTTCCCAGATTTTCTTTTCTGGACTGTACATGCATTTCTTTTGTATCTACTTACATATTTTGACTTGAATATGATTCTGGTGTGTGCATATCATTGTTTATTATTGTATATGGTCTGGGAATATTATTAATCACTTATGACTATAGCATATCACAATGTGATACATACATGTTTTGGGGGTTTATGTGTTTAGCTACTTTTGAGGTATGCGAAATCATGTTTATTAGATTTGTAATTGTGGAGACATTTTTAACTGAGAAAACTCAAAGTTTCATGAGCTATGAAAGAGTAATCACTGAAATTGTCTCATACAGTTTTCAGCTGTACCTCATCCTCATGCAGCTGATGCTTCTGCATCCCGGCAAGGATGCTTCTGAAAGTCATTCATTTTGTGATGAAGCAACAACAAAGCTTAATCATTCTTTTGCATGCCATGCACTATGCTGCGAAATGAACTAGAACAATGATTTCAGGCATTAAAAATGTCATACAAAGGCAGTCTAGATGTGTAGATCTCAGCCTCAGGGTTCATGGTGACAATAAATCATGAGATAAACTTGCCCTCTGATGTGTAGAAGATGAAAGCACAGAAACTGAGATTAAAATTAGACCAGGATTTGTGATTTAGATGTTGTGTCTGGCACGTGAACTAGGGGGGTGCGTTTCAATATATAGCTACCAAAGCCTGCAGCAATAACTATATTTAGGTTGAAAGCACCCTCCTCCACACAGCACACACACACACACACACACACACACACACACACACATTTTTAACATTTGAGAAATCTTTCTCACACTCAGACATTGAGTTTTATTGAACAACTTAAATATCACATTTGCTATCATCCACCAAACAGACACTGCCCGAGGCACTGAGATTGTTATTGGCAGGATGGGGCATCTCTGAATCTGTTTAGTGTGTGTAACGTTGTCTTGCTTTCTCAGTGTAATGAGATCTGGGCAGGAATTGGACCCTCAGCTTGATGCAGAGTTATATCCATCACCAAAACTGGGTTACACACTTCTATTTCAGCAGTGCAGCATCCCATCTGGGGGAAAACCCCATCTAACATGATCCTGTGAATGATTTAACATGCTTGCAATGCATGACTGCTCTCTTGCTCCATCCTGTGCCTTTTACCATGACTACTGTGTTTTTCATCTTTTTTTTTTTTTTTTACATTAGTTTTTATTTTTATTAAAGCTTTATCTGCCCAACATTGGATTTTCCCTTGAATTTAGATTAATTTATTGTTAAGTGATTTTTTCGTACTGTTATGTTTTTGGCAGGTCATTTCAGGTTCAGCTTCTGATTCTCCAGTAGAACTCCAGTGGACCTGCAGTGGATCTCCTGGGAGTAGTTTCACCGTCTCATTTGTTAAGAGATCCAGATGTTTCAGTAACTACAAGGGGTGAACATGAATCATTCGGGGACAGTGTGTGAGTGTGCATGTTTGTGTGTGAACATGCTAGCAGAGCTTCTGCTGGATGATTTAAAACTCTGGTTTGGATACATCCTTAGGGTTCTTTAGGTAAAACTATTTATGTGGTGGGGTAATATCTAGTTACTGTAAATAAAAAATTAAAGTGGAATTAAAATGAAAATTGTCATTATTTACTCAGCCATTGACTTTCTGTCTTGTGAAGGAACAATTGTAGTGGTCACTCTTTCCATGCAAATACAATGAAAGGAGGACTGAGGCTTCAAAAAGTTTCAAAAAGAAGTTTCAAAAAGTATCATAAATTTTAAGAAAATAAGAAAGCCATACAATAGCTTTGTTTATAAGGACCTGGAACAGACTTAAATTTAAAGGAATAGTACACTCAAAAATGAAAATTCTGTCATCATTTACTTACCCATATGTCGTTCTAAACCCATAATACTTTTGTTTATCCTCAGAATACACATACACAGAGCACATCAAATATGGTAAATGGAAGCTCAAACTTGCTTGTTTGCTGGCCGAGAATAAGTGAGTTTCATTCTCATGCATCAAGCAAGTACGTGTGAGCTTCCTTTTAACATATTTGATGTGCTCTATGTATGTGCACTGATCATGTTTTTAAAGCCTAAATTTAAATTTAAAAAGTGGGGACTTAGATTAAAATGCTGAATTCATATGGATTGTTTACAATGTCTTTATATATGTTTTGAAGTTTGAAAATGTTGGTTGTGTTCAATAGCAGATGAAAAATGATGAGATAACATGAAAATATCTCATATCTCAAAATATTGCATACATTTTCAAAATGTAACCCAGATTCGAAATAATGTCGGGAACAACATGAAGGTGAGTAAATAATAACATCATTTTCATCTTTGTATGAATACATTTTTTTTAAGATGAGCAATTCAACTGGTCTATTTTTTAAAGGATTATTAATAAAATGTTTATTTTCATATCAAGCATTTCTCTTACTTTTGTTCTTGTTTCTATCTATCAGCATTCCCTCTGTGTCTGTCTGACAGCCTCCTGCTTCATAGTATGTCCTTTTAAAGCGAACAGTGCCCTGTACAGGTGACAGTCGAAATGAGCTGAGAGTGCACCTATCTCTCTTTAATCACATCTAAATCCCTTCATCTTCCACAGTCTATCTTTTATTTGCGTGAAAGACATCACGCTCTAATCTTACAGTACATCATGCTCACACAGACTCAGTGACATAACACCGATGATGGACAAGCTATAACATCATCACTCTCTTTCCTGGAAAAGTTGTTAAACAATTACTTCTTCTGAGTGACTCCTTAAAGTTAAAGATTTTAATATCAAGCATGCAAGCTCACAGTTTTTCTTTTGTGTTTCACTGATTAATATCAATGACAAAAATGTGACTCCACAAAGAGAAATCAATAAATCCACTCTGCATCCAGCACAGCCCGCTGTGTCTGTGTGTGTCCAGCACTTGCATTCAAACTCCCCATCAATGAATGGGAGTCAGCTGATTAGAGATGTTCCACACAATACAAATCGTGGAGAACTTACACAGCAGTCTACACACAGCAGCATTTTATCAATGAATCTGCCTATGCAGTATGCTGGGAAGGTTATTTTAATCTTTTAAGATGAAACAACTTCCTCAAGGGGAACATTAATTAAACATTTAAAAGTCTCTCACTCTCTTTTTTTATTTTTCTTGCCTAAGTGGTGCTAAGGCCTTGTTTCTGAATCAACATTCCTGTCAAATCAATGAACCCTAATGACCCCTAAAATTTAAATATTATTCAAGCCATAACTGCAGCTTAAACCTGAGCCCTAAAACCTGATAGGCTAATATTATTTTGATTAAATCACAGCATCGCTGCATCAAAAATATGTGCACTTCCATACTATATCCTATAGTAGGTGAAAAACAGTATGTCAAGAGATTCGACGTGTCCAGTTTCATAGTTTTATGATATCTGCATCTGATGGACACTTTATTATCCCATGAGGCCACAGGATAGGATTTGTGAACGACAGAGAAGCGACACACTTGACGCTGTATGTCACATGACAGTGACAACATAATGGATGTAGTACGTCCAGATTTAATTCATACTACACTATATAGAACATACTTTCTTTAGTGGTAGTATATATATATATATATATATATATATATATATATTACCTACTGGAGTATGCTATTTCAGACACAGCTCATGTTTTTACACAGCAAGATGATATCATGTTTTACAACTTTTCATATTTCATACCTTTCTTATTTTATTACATCAGTTTGGATACTTGTCTATTACTGTAAACAAGTAGTTAAAAAGTTAATTCCAAATCTCTCCCAAACCCACCCTGTGTTGGTTCCTCTTTGGGCTTTTGATTATGAAGAAAACTCTGCCATCATGTGGTAACAAAATAGCACACACTTTTATTGCCTCAGAGTATAAAACCTTTGAAAAAGAAAAGAAAAGGAAAAAAGACTGACATACATGTTTTTAGACCATACAGTACTCAATTAAAGCATTGTAATGGCCAGTATAAGATCAATTCTCTCAATTTAATTTTTCACTTCATTTGAGTAAAATTGGTTCCACACAGTCGAAATTTGTTCAAACCGTTCCCTATCTTTCCACAGAATATGTCTTGAATGGATGTTCTTTGCCAACAATTTATGAAAACTGAGTAAACCCAGTTTTGTATTTAACCAGTTGCTCATTCCACTTTTTTTTTTAAATAATCTTATTCTTTATTACTAGACATTCTTTTTAATTATTAATATTTATGTAATTTATATTTTGCACATCACTTTACATTTTTATAGTCTCATAGTTTTATTAACATGTTCTTTTTATTTAGTACTACTTATTCCTAATATCTTTTTGGTCAGATTGTAGAATAAAGTATTTCACTGTTATGAAGTAGCTACCATTGTTGCTGTTTAAGCACATTTGACTTTGATACATCACATTATACATTTTTTTAGTGCATCAGTGCACATATTAACTGTAGTGTGTACATTTTGTTATATTTATGTATTTTATTGTAATACAGTGTGACAGTGACATTTTTTCAGCAGCTGTTTTTTCTTCCAGTTCTTTCAATAAAGAATACTAAGCTGAACCACACCATCCTGCTCACAACAATAAACCACAATGCATAACATAAAAAAAAAAAAACCGACATAAAATACATTGACCTGCTCATGACATAAATATAATGATTAAAAAACAATGGTACAATTTCATTTTTGGATGCCACGTGAGTAATTACTCTGCAGCTCTGAAAATAACGCACTGACAGCATTGATATAGCCTCTAATAATAGCCTATAATGTTTTGTTACATAGCCTAGTTTAAACGGGGTTCTATATAAAGTTTTTTTTTTTTAAGTTACACATACTGTTCCCAGAGTCCCAAAACCAAAGGCTCGTCGTTTCGGGGGTCTCATGTGACAGATAGGTCCACCCTCATGGGGGTCTTCACTGACTCACATTGTTCCAATACAGTAGGTCCACGTACTTCCATGGGCTGGAGACGTAACATGTATAAACTGCCCACTGACCGGATCTGCTATTTAACAGGTGTAGCACCAAGTGCAACTGTGTCGTTTTTAGACAGGTCTAGCCCGGGACTATGCGCTCAATCTGGGGTTTAATTGCCTTGGTGGCCGCGGCTACTTTTTACTTGTATCTGCTGTCTGCGTTCCTGCCGCCGGGTCCGCGTGCCGTCCGTGTTCACGACGCGGAACCTGAACACACTGCCGATGAACCGGAGGAGGAAGAACTCAGGTAGAATAATTAGAATAAGATCTCGCTGCGTCTTATATTTGGTACTTTGTTTTGTGAGCAGTTCCTACTGATGCTATTGTTTGTAGCTGAATGAATTCTATTAAATTCTCTATTAACTGTCAAATGGTAATTAACACGTCTGTTAACTTGCTTTACCTACAGGTAAGCTAAACATCTGAATACGTTATTTTAATAATCTTACGTGTGCTGATAATAACTGAAATAACAAATGAAAAAATAGGAAATGATTTCAGGTGAACATACACAACGTAGGCTACATAATTAAATACAATTAAATTAAATTTTAAGGCGAAACTTGGTAGCTATTGATGTTTCTTGTGCTACTTCCGACTCGTGAATGAATCGGTGTTTTCATTAGTTCTTTTTACTTAAAAGGTTGAACTGGTTCACATCTCTCACTGATATTATTAAGTTAAAAATTCAGCGAAAGCGTCCCACTCGATATATGAACGATCGAGTCTAATTCACGAACGAATCGTTTAGATCGTTTTTGTGAATCACAAGACCTGTCTAAACGATTCGTTCATGAATCAGTTTTTATGGTTATTTGTGGACAGGTAATTCATTTATATTCAACTATGAATATTATTAATACAGCTTAATATTATTAACACTACAAACATCTTATTAACCACAACCATCTGAATTCATAGTCTGCTGCTATATGTGACATCCTTTGATTAAAAATGTTTATATATATATATTATTTATATAATACGTTAAATCTATTTGATTGGGATTCAGTAACTTTTTTTCTGTCATGTATTCAATTATTCAACTAAACTGTGAAAAAGCATGCATTTACATAGAATATTTGATGTGTTTTATATTACATCCCGGAGGCTTCTTGCCTCAGGTAGTGGAGCAAGATGGCCATTTTCGTGAATTTGTGCAATAACTGGACTGTAAAATGTTTCTAGTTATTTCCACTGATAATACATTTCAACTAATAATATATTGGATGATGCATGGTCGTTAAACTCATGTATAAATATGTTGCAATTTAGTAAGTTCACACTGTTTCTAAGGGAAGCATCTACAGTAAATGCAGTTTGTGACAGTGCTCCCTTTCACATGTGGAACAACTCCCTCTTTCTCTTTTTTATTAGGCTAGTTCTCTCTATCTTCATTCATTTCACATTCTTCCTTATTTGCCTGCATGTCTGTTTGACTCAGTATTGGTTTATTTATAATATATACGCCCTCATCTCAATTCTGAGAAGCTGTAATGGGAGAATAAGAAATAAAATTTGAGAGAATGAGAGAGAGATGGATGTGTACTATAGAAAGAGAGAAGCTTTGGCAGTTATTCTCTGATGGTGGCAGATATTCTGGAACATTCAGCTCCTGTGCTCTCTCCTCATCAGCGTTACTTTATACTGTGTGAGCAGCAGCTCTGGGAGCCCCGGGGTGGGAAATGTCCAGATCATAGGTGCTTCACAGGCAACCCACATCAAAATTATTTTTCTTCTCTAATGTTTCATCTGTCCTCTCATTTCTCCTTGGCAGGGACCTAAAGGACCTGATCCTTAGTCAGTTCTTATTATGCATCTGGTTCTCAGATATTGTCTGCTTTGCATGTGTGTGACTGTATGCAATGAGTGAATTAAAGGGTTAGTTCACCCAAAAATGAAAATTAGGCTGTGTTTTACTCACACCCGAGGCATCCTAGGTGTATATGACTTTCTTCTTTCAGACGAATCCAGTCTGATTTTGTTAGATTAAAAATTGTCCTGGCTATTCCAAACTCTATCATTGCATTCAGCGGGTGTTGCAGTGCTTCAGGCCAAAAGAAGTGAAATAAAAAGCGCCCATCCATAAAAAAAAGTGTCTCACACGGCTCCGGGGGGTGAACAAAGTCCTCCTGTAGTGAATCGATGAGTTTTTGTAAGAAAAAGACAAATATTTAAAACGTAATAAACAATTTAATCTAGCTTGCGCTCACTGTTGTAAATGGAAGCAGCTTCGGGAGGATGACGTATGAGGTCAGCGTTGCGCATGCGCCGCTCAGAAGTGATGCACGCGGAAGCGCAGGGGAGAGATCAAAACAAAACAACGGTCACTAATTAGAAGTACAAATTTTCATTTTTGGGTGAACTAACCCTTTAAGGAGTCCGAGAACCCCTTGTTCCAGCCATAGTCCAGTAGGTCCTGTATTATGTATATATGTGTGTGTGCAACAATATTCTGTGTAGCATATTGACTAGACAAAAAACAATAGCCCTAACATGTTCCACATTTAAAAATATACCACTATTAGGAAATACACGAATATAGTACCATTCAAAAGTTTGGTGTTGGTAATTTAATTTCTTTAAAAAAATATCCTGCCATTTTCCAAACTGCTTGTCCTTTGTAGAATCCAGGGGATGCTGGAGCATATCATATAAAAAAAATAAATAATAATAATAATTATTAATATATTAAACTGTCTATTAATTATTACCTTGTCTGCTCTGAATGCAAATCAACATTAGCAGTCATGTCTCAGAATTGGAGCCTGGCAGAGGACATGAGGAGACAGTTATAAGATCAGACAACTGCCTTCTGGAGTGGACCTCTTGAATTTGCTGAGATGTGCAATATAGAGGAGGAGGGAAAGAAAGAGATATCTGGATGGTTAATATGCGACATGTTTGTCTTGCATGACAAGCTAAAATAAATCACAAATAAATAAAAGGAGAGCAGAGTGGTCTCAAAAGCCCTGTGCACTTATGTCACTTTCTGAAGTCACCCAGATATTTAGAATAACAAAAGCAGTGGAAAGGACACTGGAGTTTCAAATTGGGTAACGGATCTGCTGTATGTCTACCATCATCACATTCCGTCCAAAGATCTGACCGTTCCATAGTGTCTTGTGACCCATATGTCTTGGTTCATTTCTTGGTTAGCTCACTCTTCTGTACCCTGGGAAAATATCTGCTGATGAGATTGAGATGAAGTTTTTCCACATGTTGTTCAGCAGTGATGGCAGAGACAGCTGTAGCCTGTGTACTGAAGCTGTTTGAATCTTTGGATGGGAATTCCCATGGTTATAAGAGAAGGGGAATTTTAACGTGTTAACGTTCATGTATCATGTTTTACAGTGGTGTAGCCATAAAAATAAGCTGTTTTAAGAAAAATAGGCTTAATTGGCTGAATATGTCATGACTTTTAAAAGTAGTTTTGCTTATTACTGTTTTGTTTATTGTCTGCTCAGTCTCCTCCACTGAAGGCTCTCATATTGTTGTACTTGTGAGAACATACTCAGTGTACACTCAGCATGGAGCATATCACATGTTTATATTCGTCACACCGGGTACTCATGTGAAATCAGGACCTCTGCTTTGGCACATGGGTGGGGAGTACCGCCCCATTGCGTGCCCAAATTACCCCCTGGTCGGCAGTAAGGAGCTTAGATTACTCACGACTGCCCAAGATGTGATTCATCTGCTGGTAATAGCCCTGTGACCACCACATGAGAAATTCAGTCTGTGGTACATCCACATATTTATTGATGATCATGTTAGGTGTGTTTAAAGACATTTAAAACAGTTTGGCCATCAAGTACAGCCACACACACACACACAAAAGCACATTTCCACAGCTGAGAGGCTATTTTCGTCCATTTGGTGTATCATATTTCATTCGGCGTATCATATTTCATTCCTTCACTCATGCTGAGGGCAGATTTCAGTCTTTCTCATCTTGCTGACAGGCTATTGTATTGATCAGGGTCCTTCAACCATTTTTAAAAACCCTTTGGTGATTTCAAGTCTGTTGTTCACTGAAAAAAATGGAAGTTACTTGGTTTTATTCAAGTCAAAAATATTATTAAAAAAAATATATATTAAAAAATATATATATATTATCAGTATGGCTAAACCTAAATACGTTAATTTAATTAAAACAAAACTAAATTTTATGGCTTAAATCAGGCAAGGCTGGCCACACACTAGATTTGCAACCCCAAACGATCGGTGGCTTGTCGCAAGCGATTTTTTGTCCAAAAAATCCTCTAGTGTGTGGTGTCATTACGATTATTTAACTGCTCCCGATCGAGACGGAGCGTCCCCGAACTCAAATCATAAATATCAAACATGTTTGATATTTATGACTCTTGATTGGGCTGCTTCTGATGCCAGGTTCAGACTACACGATATTTTTGTCGGTCAGGATAGTCACTGTGTCAGATTACACGATTTTGACTCCTAAAATCTTGTCCTGTCCTGGACAAGAAACATGTCAGACTGCACGTTGCTTCCCGACCATTCATCGCGTGCTGTCTTTAACGACGCGCGTGATGTCATCGAGAAGGCGGAACTAGCGACTGACTTCCGAAAACAAGAGTGTAAACATTGCTGAAGCGCTTCCGCTATAGTTCGCCAGCATTTTTCTTTATTTGTTCTGTCATGGTAGTCCCTCGATGACACATCATACAGGCAGGAGTACTGTTGCCACAGCTCCACGAACCTTTCCTCCATCTCATAATTGCACCTAGCAGCACCTTTTCGCCATGTTTGAAAACTGTGTATGAAAGAGCTTCTGTGCTGCTATTGGTCAACGTTACCAATGTGACTGAACTCGTGGACGACGGAAAAAAACATGCTAGTCTTTCTGTCTTGAAGCATCGCAGACGCGGAATCTGTTGTCGTCCACTATGACACACTACACGAGGTGAAACGATGGAATCTTGCGTCCCGATGCTCATTGTCGTTTACGAATCCCCATGACACCATATGTCAAGCAAATCGTGGCAAAATCGGGCTAAAATCGTGTAGTCTGAACCGGGCATGACGTGACTACAATCATCAAGTGTGTGGTCTCGTGGTCTGGTCGAATCATCTAGTGTGTGCGTTCAGAGGTCTTGTCTGTGGTCTCCCATGGTTTTAAAATCGGTTAAGATTTGAAAATCGTCTAGTGTGCAGCCAGCTTAAGGTAACAATTGCAGGTCACCACTTTTTACAGTATGTATTAATAGTACTATAATGTATTTATATACAGTAGTGTATTGTGATGCTTACATTCCACAGCCATTTAAATAATTGTTATTGATATAATTGAATAGTCGTGTACTTTCTAATTTTATGTAATACAGAAAAAAAGAAACATTTAAATGAAATTAGATAAGACAGTTCATCCAAAAATGACCCCTTACCCTTGTTGAAAACCCTGGTCTAAATTATTCACTCATTTCATTAATTATAAGAATGTAAAAGAGGCATATGAGATTTGTCCTGTATTAAAAAAAAAAAAAAAAAACTCTCACTCTTCAGACATGTCTGATTTCAGAGAGTATTTTATTACCCACTCAGAATTTAGACACTTGCAATATCACTGAAAACAAGTTTTATTAAAGTCAAAAATATGATTTAATATCACTGAACCAAAACTACTTTATATAGATTAAATCATGTACAAATACCTGTATCTCTTTAATGTAACAGTTGCAGGTCACCACTTTTTGCAGTACAGAGTCTCACCAGAAGGCAACAGAGGGCTTTTTCAGATCATTACGCTCAAGTCATATTACTAAAGACCACAGTATCCACTCAATTAATCCATTGATTAAAACCCTTGTCCTCCTACAAAGCAGTCTCTTTAGTGCTGATTTTTGTAAGGGTAAGCAATTTGGTTGATGGGAAGAAAACAGCCACTCTCCAATCTGTTAGAAATTACAAGAGAATCTTACAAGTTCAGTGCCATTATTTTACTGATTCCATCATTTCTTATGTTTTCTCCAGGTTGAAGTTCCCGTCTGATCTGGACGAGTTGAGGGAACTAGCCGAGCTGTTGCAGTTCTATAAGACAGAACACACTGGCTATGTGTCCATCCTCTTTTGCAGTGCCTACCTCTACAAGCAGTCCTTCGCCATTCCAGGCTCATCCTTTTTGGTTGGTAAAAGAGGTCTACTAGACCAACTCAGTGATTCTGTTTTTTTATTATTATTATTATGACATGTTTGTGTTATATCTTTCACTTGGGTGTTATAAGTTGCACTGAGTAAATACATCTAAGATAAAACAAAAAAGTCCATCTTCATGTCAGGCTGCAAAACAACAAAATGTGATTATTTTAAAGTATACCCACTATACCCACAAAATGTGAGAAATATACACACACACACACACACACACACACAATGTTTATATACAATATTGACTATTTTCGGTACGTGTCTCTCGGTTCGGTACGCATGTGTACCGCACGAATACAGTTTTTTTTTTCTTCTCAGGAAATTCAAATAATAAATAATAAACTGTTATTTTAAAAACAGTTTTTAAAATAATAACAACACAGAGTAAAGATATAGAACTATTTTAATGATTTTTTTTTCAAGCTGTGGAAC